TGGCTTATATAATTTCTGAAAATTTAAATGAGCTCTGATAAGTTTTATTGAAGCAACCTAAGTACACATTATCAGTGACTTCACTCCTGAGATTCAGGCCTTTTAAAAAAATTTATGCTGAATATTCTGGGTTTCACAAACAACATGTTTCAAACCAAATACATCTACTCTCCCCCAACTGTGACTATAATTCCCCTTCCTCCCAGCCACACAAGTTAGAAAAAAAGAAGTCATTTAAGATTCCATTTTTCACAGCTCTAAAACCCCCAGTCTCCAATTCCTATTTATGTTGCTTTTGAAATAGCTCTTGAATTTCTTCCTCTCTATTGACTAGAAACTCTAGATTATTTCTGCACTGTCCCTCCTTCATGAATCTGTCGTGTCATTTTAGTGTTGCTCTTGTACTTTGCTTGATTTAAAACTAGATACTGGTCACCATAATTATTAGGTGTTTGAGTAAACATTCCATGGTGGCAGACACTGGAGAGTATTGTCCAGGTTTTCCTTTTGATTTGCTATTCTGTACATTACTCCATCTCCAGCCACTCTCCACTGCACTGATAGCATCCTTCACAGGCTGTGCTATTTATTCAAGCATCCTCTCTTCCTATGATGTTATTCCCACTCTTCTCCATTGGGGGATATGATATTTGTCTCTCAAGGAAGAACTCAAATGTGAAGCTTTACCAGACTTTCTGAATAGGAGTTACATATTCTTTCTCTTGGCTCCCTACCACTTGTTTGTATTTGTCTCAAGTTAAATGAAATATACACAGAGCCCCTTACAAAAGACATGTAAATGAGTAAAGATTCAATTGGCAGTTTTGTCCCCTATTTGCTGGTGGCAAGGACATGAGTTTTAAAATCCAGGTCACAGTGACATTTTAGTCCTATAATCTTGGATAAAGTATACAACTTCTTCACATTTCACTATCTTCATCTGTAAGATGGAAATGATGGTGCCTGTTGTTATGGTTTGGATAGGAAGTATCCCCTGAAAGCTCATGTGTGAGACAATGTGAAATGTATTAGAAGAGAAATAATTAGATCATGAAAGCTGTAACCTAATCATTGGATTAATTTATGGGTTGAAAATTTGAATGGATTAATAGGTGATTAACTGTATGCAGGTAGGGTGGCTGGAAAAAGTAGGTCATAGGAGACATGTTCTTGGATATTATATTATCCCTGGCTCTGTACACTCAAGATCTGTTTCCTGGCTATCCTGAACTCAGCAA